ATAATGTCATTTCATAATACAAAGGATAATTTAAAACAATATAAAAAATAGATAATAAATAGAAATCTTATTAACAATGTAAGAAAAGTGGGAAAGAAGAAAATCAAACAACAATATTGAAAAAAAAAATCATAGTTATGAAATTTTCTTGTTTCATGAAATATTTTAAATTTCATAATTTTTTTAATTAAAATAATTATCCTTGAAGTGATTAATCTATAATCATATCCGTTTATTTATATTATCCAAATTAAATAAAATTTTAGTTTATGTAAAAATTGAATAATCTATTTGAAAAGTTTAATCTCAAATTATTGGAAACACTAAAAAATATAATAGGTGGAAATAAAATAATTGAATTAATTGTTTATATAAATATTTTTCAAGCACCTGTGTACTACAAAATTGTTGTATAAAAGCATGTATATTCTTAATGAGTATTTATAAATGTTTTTGACAATTCAATTAATATTGTAGTAAAAATTTATCACACACCCATGTGATAAATTTATTATTAAAAGTAAATTAATATTTTAAAATATTAATTTAAAAATAATTATTGGTAACACCATGTACAATAGATAATGAATAAATTTTTTTATATATTAATTTTTTAATATACATTTTTTTTTTGCAAACACCCGTGTAGTACATGGGTATTTATTCAAATATGTGTATAAATATTTAAATAAATTAATTAAAATTAATACTTTTTTTACCCGTGTAGTACAAATATTTTTATTCATAAAAATATTTTTATATTGAAAANGATACTATTTAAAAACATATTAATATCACATTTTAATTGCATATTAGTGATATAAATATATCACTGATATACTTAATATTTGTATATTTAAAACATTTTATTAATTTATTTTTTGTACATTTAAATTGTTAGTAAAAAATACGTGTGTATTTTTGAAAATTCAATTGAACACCATTTTATTAACTAAAAATATGAAGTAAATTAATATTTACAGATATTCATTTCACAAATAATTTATTTATCACTAAAAATATGAAGAAAATGCATGTCATCATGTCCCCTATTCACTGCAAAGTTAACAAACTGTTCTTCATCATTATTTCCTCCTGAACTTCCACTTTCCCTGCCTTGTTTTCCCAATATCTTAGCAACTTCTTGTGCTAGCACAGCAATGTCACTCACAGGTTGGTTCATCTCATGCACATCAGTGGAGTTAGCATAGGATTTTCCTCTCTTTTCTCTTACTTCTTTAAACCAATCTGGATATCCATGTATCTTGAAGCAAGTTGACTTCTCATGTCCATTCCATCCACAATGTTCACACAGCAGTTTAGATTTCTCTTCCTTAGTTAATCTCTGTCCCATTTTACCTTTTCCAAATCCATACTGAGTGGTTGGGAGCTTTGTGCCCTGCCCCCTACCCATAGGAATATGTATCCACCCTATGAAGCCCGGTTCCGACGACCTTCCTTCGCTAGTAGGAATGACTCGGTTTTCTCGTATAGGAATATGTATGAATTTTATTTGGGGATTTTCAAGAACTCTTTCTTGATTTTGTGAAGAACTTTTCTTCTCTTTCTAACACTTTAGAAACTTAGCCAAAATCAATTTTCAAGACTTAGCCATTTATGTAAACCATTTACATCTATTTATACTAAACATTTTAGCATAAAATAATCAATATTTAGTATATTTAAATAAAATCAGATTTTATTTAAATAGTATTTACTAACTATTGACTTTGAAAATAATAAGATATGTTAAGTGGTTCAAACAACCATTAACCACCATTTTATTATAATCATATTTATTATTTTAATCCTTAAATCATATTTAAAGATATAAATAATAATTGAATAATAAATCTTGAGAATCTATTCCAAGACTTTATTATTATATTCATTTCCCAATTTTCATCCATATTATAATAATCATATTATCATTTATTTTGGATTTTGAAATTTAAAATCCTATTTTAAAATTCAACTTTATTAATTTAGTAATTACCTTAATTACTAAAGTAATATCCAAAATGTAATTAATCAATCTTATTCGATACTATTTAAAAACATATTAATATCACATTTTAATTGCATATTAGTGATATAAATATATCACTGATATACTTAATATTTGTATATTTAAAACATTTTATTAATTTATTTTTTGTACATTTAAATTGTTAGTAAAAAATACGTGTGTATTTTTGAAAATTCAATTGAACACCATTTTATTAACTAAAAATATGAAGTAAATTAATATTTACAGATATTCATTTCACAAATAATTTATTTATCACTAATATACAAATATTTTTCAAATACCAATCAGCAGTATGTACATTTATCACACAATTCATAATTTATATTTGCAAATTATTATTTATAATATTTGAATTAATTTATTATATGAAACATAAAATTATAAATATAGTCAAATATGAAAAACAAATTATTGCACAAATTTAGTTCCTTCATAGTCGCTCATAATTTAAAAAAATAATATTCCTTGGGAAAAAAATAATATCATAATTTCATGGAACTTTTGGAAAGAAAAAATTGCCATATTATCATACATGATTTTAGGATCTAACAGAATTATGTGTATTGTCCCTTAAATATTGGAAGATTCTATATGCATAGTTTGGAAGATATATTTGACATAATTTTAGAAATGATTTTAATTTCAAATTTTTAAAATTTGACAATGGCGGGAATTTCCAAAATAGTTACCATTAAAAGTAATTCTGAAATTTTTAGGCGGGAATTTCACTACCATTTCTAGTAAATCTCTAACCTTTTTATATAATAATAGATGCCGAATATAGTTTTCACATATATACCGATGTATATACAATACTTATATATTATTAATAGTGTGATTATTTACAATTTATACATAATTCATTTTGGATTTGATTCATATACTTTCATAGAGATAATATAAACAATATATAAAACATGTATAAACATCGACATCTTAATATAAACAATACAAGTCTATACATGTTTTATATATTGTTTATAATTTGATGTCAATACAAAAGTTATATTCTGTTTATAGTGTGATTATTTGTGGTTTATACCCAGTTAGTGTGTATCCCGTGCGATGCACGGGGCTACAATAATCGAATGAATAAATTGTGTAAGTGAATGCATATTGATTAATTTATAAATTTTAAGTATAATTTTATTATTAATCTTTAACTTTATTAGTAAAAACTTAATATAATATTTTTAGTACACACTTAACTTTTAGAGAGTGAGAGAGAGGGGGGAAGAGATATAAAAGAATAGAGAGATTAAATGTTTACCAATTAATTTTTTTAAAAAATATAGAAAAATCATATATTGAGCAGTATATAATTACAGAAAAAACACTTCAATTAAAATAATTTTTTTATTAGGTAAATAATAATAATGATAATAGAAATAAATAATTAGTTTTATTCATTTATTTTACTAATTGACATATCAAAGGAAACAATAATTAGTCTTTTCCTTTTCAAAAAATAAAAACAAAGATTATAGAAAGAAACATTTTGTCTTTTCATTTTCTAAAAATCTATTATAATATAAAAAGGTTAGGGATTTACTAGAAATAGTAGGTAAATTCCCGCCTAAAAATTTTAGAATTACTTTTAATGGTAACTTTTTTAAAAATTCCCGCCATTGTCAAATTTTAAAAATTCAAAATTAAAATCATTCCTAAAATTATGCCAAATATATCTTCCAAACTATGCATAGTATTTTCCAATATTTAAGAGATAATCTATTAATATATAAAAAGGTTTGGATTTTTTTGAAATAGAAACTGTTACCATCCAAAAAAGATTCTTTTTTACTAATTATAGAATTTTTTTTGACAATATTTGGTATGTAATCCTAAAATCTAGGCATATTTTATAATTGCATTTTTTAATTGATGGATTTTGTATATATGGAATAAAATGGCTGCATATTATGGAATATTACGGCTACACAATTTTGGTAATGTTTATTATTACTTTTTTTAAGTATTTGAATCCAATTTATGGTATAAAAGGACTCAATTTTTGGTAATGTTTGAAACAAAAAAATGGTATGAAGAAGTAATTATCAATTACATTATGACATCTTTTTTATTATTATTAATTGACTTATTTTAAATGAGGATTAATTTATATAATAAATTAGTTACATAGAGCTTTCTCATTCATTTAGTGATGAATATTTATAATATTTGCAGCCGAAAGATATGCTCAAATTAAACCTGTTGAGCTATTAAAACAAATCTCTCTTTTTGGGTTGAATTATAAGCATCTTAATTAAGTGTAGCAATTAACATAATATAACACTTAAAAAAACGGTATGAAGTATCCGGTATTTTGGATATGATTTGGTCGAACATTTTTTAAATTTTTTTATTCAAGTTGTTTAACTAATTTTTTGTTGACATATATAACTCTGAGATATTATTTAATTGATTCATTAAATAATAAGCTGATTTCTTTCGAAAAAGCGGGATATCTAATTATCAAAATATATAATCTATATTCAAGAATTTGGATCCAATGAGAAAAGAAGTTAGTGAAAGAAATAAGAACGATTATACACCGTCGGATACGTTTAATTAATGGTTGAGATCGAAAATTACGTTCTGTCCGCACCTGGAGAAAAGCGGTGGCATTTACGTAAATACAATAAACTCCACGGTGATTTATTTGGGCGTGAGGGCATTAGTGTATTTTACAATATCAGCAGAGGGTATAGGGAATTTAGACACATTAATCCCGCATTCATTCTAGATCTACGTTTTGGAATCTGATGGGTTTCTCTATAGACGTGCTTCTCTTTCAAATTAATGTCAAAAATTCAAGCTGATTTTTAGTCCGATTTTCATGCTCTATTATCAAGCATCACCAGTTGTGAAGTTTCTCGAGCTGCTTGAAGGAATAATCGCCAATTAACAATAGATCTTTTTGAAGTTTCTCGATTCTCATGTTCGATTAACAGTCGAGTAGTTTCAAACGATGGGAAAATCTCCACAACTGAAGAAAATTGGTAAGCGCATCTTCTATTTTATGTTCATTACCCTTCTTTATGGTATATAACGCGTGTAAGTTGTTTTGGAAAAAAAAAATAATAAATAAAAAAAATGGAATTATGGTTTATCAGTTGTCGGCATTTGTGAAATAACCGTATATATCATTCCTTGATTTACACTTTCACAATCAATCGTGCATGTTGAACTTTCAGGTGTGCTTAGTGTGCTCTGAAGTACAAACGTGTTATTTGTGTTGTAGTTTGTTAATAACTGATATGGGTGTTGGGTTGATGCGGTTTTTGTGGTTTTGTTTGTGATGACTTGATAATGTGTGCGTTTTGGTAAAAAATCTGTATATTTTGGGGTTGGCAATATGTGAGTTATTGGGTTTAAGTGTTGATGAAATTTAAATATGGACTGGTTTGAATTTAAATTGCCTGTAGTATGACCACAATTGCATATCTGTACGTAATACAACATACAACTTAGCTGGGTTTCTCTGTTATTCTCTGAATAATATGAACGTTTGTACAGGCACTCCGCAAAAAGGTGTCACACATAAGACGAATGACAACGTACCCAAAATTTGTGGTGAAGGAGGTATAAACGTGATCTCATTGATGTGTTTAAAACCCTGCCATTTAAATGTTTTTCATGTAGTGCGTGTGTGTTTAATCGTAAACATTTTTCTTTTCTTCGTTACAGGCAAAAGTGATGTTGATATTTGCGTATCAGATCAATCGCCCAGTACGTGTGTATACATATTATGATTAAGCAATAATGCATTTCGAATTGCATTCTGTAATTATTTGTTATTAATGTTCTCACTCTGATTTTTTGTCTAATGGATGTTGCCGTTCGTTAGTGACCCGAAGTCGTACAAGCTTGGCCTTAATACAACAAATTGACCCATCCCTGAAACGCGACAACAATCAAGAAGGTAAATATTTTTTGGAACGTTTGTCATAAGACCTAGCGCTTCATATATTTTGTTTTTAACCCCTTGATTGGTTTTCCAGATCACGCGTCTAAGAGGCCCCTGGACGAACCAGAACCTGGTGGTGCCCTTCTGAAGCGTAAAAAAGTTGTGCGAACAGCGAGACAGTCTGGCATTGTCAATACGCCTGATGGTGGCTCCCGACATTGTGCGACAGAGCTGACGAAAAAACGTCATGGTATGCGTAATTAAATAAATGTGTATATATACATAAATATATGAATGCAGTTGATGTTTACGATTTTTCTAATGCTTGATGCTTTTCAGATAAGGGCAAAATGAAAATGGACAATAAGGACTATATACCTGATCATGATATTGTGGATCGTGCTGATATCGATATTGGTACCAACGACGATGATGTGTTCCCCAGCGTTAATACAAGGTCTTCTGCAGCCATGTTTGTGAAAGCGGTTTCTGGGCTGACGGACGCAAAAAAAGAGGCAGTTCGTGAAATGGGGCTGGGCAATTTGCTAGATTTGAGCATAACTACAGTACCGTCTAAGATGGGATTCTGGTTGGTGAACAATTTCAACCACCTGGACAGAAAGCTAAAGTTGTACGGCAGCGACAAGATGCATGTTAAGGAAGACGATGTTCATGCTGTATTTGGTCTACCACGTGGAGCGATTGAACTTACAAATAAAAATAAGAGAGAAACATCTACACTGCTGGATGATTGGATCCGACTTTTTGATGTGCGAACAACGTCGAACATCACGGCATCGAAGGTTTTAGATAAAATGAATGCGTGTGCTGAAGGTGATGATTGGTTCAAGCGACACTTCATCGTCCTCATGGTGACTTGCTTGTTTCAGAGTCGCCTAAATGGCATGGCAAACTTTCGGTTAGTCCACGCGCTTGATGATTTATCGAAGGTCAGCAACATGAATTGGTGCTCGTATATGGTTCGTTGCTTGGTTGACACAAAGAAAACATGGGATTCCAGTGGAAAACAAAAGACTTACACGGGGCCTTTACTCTTTTTGACGGTCAGAGATGATGTCTTTATTTTCTATGCATCTATTTAATTATTTATTTTATCCTTTAATCTGTTATACTTTCTCGATCAAATTCTTATCCACCATTAGTTCTTTTTGTGCAGTTGTTCTATGTAGATAGAGTAGTCCTGTCTATTCGCTCTGTTGCACGAACGTTCCCGACATTTAGATCATGGAGTAACGATACATTGCGCGCCAGAGAACTCGATGAGATTGATGCTGGATCGTTTGGTAGGGGTTTCGTTGACCCAGACTTATGCCTGATCGCTGATAGCCGACAACCGAATAAAGTTGGTCTCAAAGCCGATGACGATGGTGTCGGACGCGACGAAGTTAAAAGCGTACAGGTTATCCGAATTATAACTTTTATTGCGAGACGTTTATATTTTGTTACGAGTACATTAAGACTCAATGTGGTCGTTATTAACTGTTGGTTTACAACACACCTGAACAGTGTATGATGTGCATCATGATATGTGAGTGCGTTCAATGTGTCTGTGGTTAATGTGAATTCACAAATATGATATGGAATCATGGGTTATTTGTTGTTATCCACACAAAGTGTGTTTTTATTTATTTATTATTATTATTATTATTGTTATTATTTTTTATCTTTTCATTACTGTAGTGTTTTATTACTGATGTCTTGTTATTCCATTATGTACGTAGTGTTATCATGCGTGCATTATCTGATGCATAGATGTGCAATACCATTATATATACACGTGCAATAATCTATGTATAGTTTTGTATTGCAGTTTGTATAATCATGCATTAATACCTGCTTTTATAAGTGTATGAAGTATATATACGCGTTAATTTCGTTTGATTTTTTCTATACTTGACATTGTCATTCTACAGACTTATGTTCAAGAGTTTGCATCTAAAACTCTACTGCTTGCCACAACTGGGGCCGAAATACTACAACTAGTTGAAAGGGCGCCGCAGGTTTTGCTTGAAGATGACAACTTCTTGAAAATGCGAGATGCAGCCCAGAGACTTCTCGATGTGTATAGCGAAGTACCTAAAGGTCACGATGCCCATCACGGACCGAGTCAACAACACTGCACAGAATCGAAGAATAGTGACGGAATAGATGGTAATGACAAGGGTGCTGCATACCAGACAGCTGACGACGCGTTCTAGAATTCACCTGAAACATTAGCGGCGATCGATGAAATCGTTAGGGCAGCCAAACGACGGGACAAAGAACGAGCCCGTTTTAAGAGGATGCAAGAGGAGGGTCCCAGTTATAGTTTGGGTTTGTCATCGGATGATGATGATGTTGCTAATGATACCCGTCATCGTGTGAATGTGGCAGATGCGATCCTTGGTCGTGATATGGGCAAACATACAGTTGTGATGTCACCTGTAGTAGATGCACAAAAGGGTATGTGAGTAAAGTTTTGTACAATATGTTGGTATACTTCTCATCGACGCCATTTATTTATTTACTTTTTTCTTGTAAACCTAATTTTATGTGCTCACATGTGAAGCCGGTGATTCTGTGTTACGTGACAAGTTGACAATTGTTGAAGAACCCGTACTGCCAACCGGAAAGTGCGAAACCAATGGTATACTTGTAATTATGCTTTTATTTGTAGTTTACAATATGTTACTATAAATCCTTTTCTTTTGTTTTTTCCCCTTTTTTTTATCAGAAGTCATTGACGACGTACCTCATGAGGAGGATGTCCAGGGGTCCCTGAGGTCGAAAAGAAATATCAAGGCCTCAAGTTTTTCCAAATCGCCTTTTATGCAGAGGTCAATTGATGTTGTTAAGAAACTCGACGAGTATGAGAAGGTGGTCGCTATCTGGGCAATGAATAACGAACCGACAGATGAGTATGATCACTTGTGTTTTTATTAGTATTTTATTTTATTTTTTATTGAAATAACATACTATTAGATAATCGTATGTTGATATACGTGTGTGTTCGCATCTCGTTCTAACATTTTTTGTTTGGGTATGCATGATTTCCGACAGTGGTGTTATCATATTCCAGTCAAGGTCATCAGAGTACTCCGCTAAAAAGTCCATTGTGTCCTGTTTGCTACCAAACACCCCGATTAGAAATGAGCTGCTGGATTTGTGGTCGGTTATTTTGAATCACATAGAGACCATGAAAAGTCGTGGACCAGTAACATGTTTTTTTGCATCGACATCTCCCTGCACTGAGGTACGATACTTTATTTTAATAGTGCAATATGTTTAACACAAAAGTGCAATATGCCTAACACTAAAGTGCAATATGTTTAACACTAAAGTGCAATATGCCTAACACTAACAGTGCAATATGCAATTTATATTGTGCAAACCATGGTTTCAGCTGTTTTATGATGGTAAACGGAAGAAGGCCGCGAGCTACAAGAAATTTTCTCAAATACTTGATTCAGAGATTGCCAGTCTGTCCAGTTATCAGTTGAAGCAAATATCAGTGGTAATTGGCTACTTTAACTCGTTCTGTAATGGTTTCCATTGCGTCCTATTTTTTCATATGTTCCTTTTCTTTTTTAGCTATTATTTTCATATATAAAATATATGTGACATGATAATCTTGGTATGTTCACGATGTGTTTTATTTATTTGTTCGTTTTATGCAGTTCTTATTTCCTGTACACTTTGAGGTGTTCTCTGGCATATTGTGCATGGCGCCATGCTTTCAAAAGTTCACTATACTGGATAGTGCTCGATTTTTAAAAGATGTGTCGGTTAAAAAAACACTGATGTCTCGAGCTGAGCACTTGGTAATTTTATAAAATTCCTACGATCAACCTTCGCTTGCGTTTCTCATTTGGTGTGTTATGCTAATCATGCGTTCATTTACCACAGCGACACTCATTCTCAAAGTATCTATGCGAGCGACATATCGTGAAGAATTCAGAAGCAATTGCACTATGCATTCCGGACGTGGTTGACATAGGCTGGACTGAGGGGATTGACGCGGAGGACGCTGGGGTGATCACAATGCGTCATATGAAGACGTTCAAGGGCAGATTTGCTAAAAGTTGGAATCCACAAATAAAGAAAGGAGATAAGGCGCAACTGACTCTTATGAGGAAGCGGTACAGCTACGTCATAGCTTGTGCACCGAACAACAATCTGAAGGATGACAACCTCGCAGCAGCAAAGAAATATCACCCGCTGTACATGGCAAAGACGCAGTGTACCGCACCATGATCGTTGGAGTAACTTCGGGAGTTATGGCAGTTATGGTCTGTCGAATTAGCACGCGTCATTGGATCATGTCGATAGTTGTTTTTTGTTGAAACTTGTTGACGGTGAAGCGTTCCATATAATATTCGGTTTTTGCATCAAATGTGTGATGGTTCTAACTTAGTACGTAGGCCGTTATCATGGGGACTAATGAAACCTTTTAGCGATTTGACCTTTTTTGTGTATCTGTGTTGTGTGGGCTGAAATCGGTGGTTACCCACGTCTTTTTGCATATATAACAATGCTGGTGCAGTATTTATGTCGGTGTTGTTTGTTGCTAATCATTTAACCGATAAAGAATTTTTGCTTTGTGTGTGTGTACTGAATTGTGTGCACTTGTTTGTTACGGTATACGCGTTATACGATGATGTGCACTCGAAACATATGGATTGTGCAATGTGCACTGCGTTATTGTGCGCCCACATCGTATAGCGTGTGCAAAGTGCATTGCATTGTCGTGTTGTACGTCGATATTACTTACATTGATATCGTTTATTGGTTCGAATTGTCATCGTGTTATATAATGTACAATTAAATCATATATCAGTAGCAACGTGCGTTGTACTACGATACAATATAATGTGCGACTAAATCGTTTACTACGTGCAACCTACATATTATTATCGTGCAACCGAAACGTATGGACCGTGCATCATGCATTATATTGTTGTGATGTATGTTGTTACGACTTACATTGATATGATGTTATTGCTTGATTTGTCAATGTGTTATATAATGTGCAACGTGCGTCGTACTGCAGTATAATATAAAGTGCGCCTACGTCATATATAATGTGCAACGCATATTGTAGTACTGTGCAACCAACTCATATAGAATGCGTTCAATTAGTGCAATATACGCGTTGTGATTGTGTATGCCGTGCACACCCCATGAATATATAACTACGGATATATAACTGACATGCACTGATGTTCAATAACCAACGACATTAAAAATAACAATAATAATAATAACAATAAATAAATAGAAAAATGCCCGATATTATAACGTTTGTCGTAAAAAATAAATAAATAAATAACTAAATAAAACAACGCTCCGCAATGCCATGCGCGACTATCACCAACCCAAACAAGTTCATATATCATTTGGAACAAAATAAAATAAAATAAAATAAAATCAAGGATAAACATCCATAANTCACTGACCCAAACAAGTTCACATATCATTTGGAACAAAATAAAATAAAATAAAATAAAATCAAGGATAAACATCCATAATGAAGTGTTTGATCCGAAACGCCTCCATCAATCTCCTGTCACTTCATCTGTGCCTGCATATATATTTCACCGTATGTTAATATTAACGTCTCATGGTTGTCGTTCTTTATACTAGCATATCTTTCCGTACATGCGACGAACGTAATGAATAAAAATAATGTGTTATAACACATAAGTGCACTTGTGTTGGTATAATTGAACAGACAGTTACTTCAACAATATGTGTATATTTACCTCGTCGTCATTTGTGTTGCATGCTTGTGTTTCTTTGGGCATGTGCGTGTATTGTGTCCCGCTATTTCACCGCATGACTTACATGTCCGCCGTTTCTTTTGTGATCCTTCAATCGCCTTTTCCTTCGCGCTCTTTAGCCTTTTGCCGCTGCCTTTGTTCTTCGAACGTGACGGAAAGTGAATGCTTACTTCTTGAGGAGCAGCCATTCCGACAAACAATTCGAAATGTTGTTTTTTAGCACTAGTATCACCTTCCTGTGCAGTCATCAGCTTTCCCTTGTACGCTTCGATTATCTTTGAAAACTCAATAAGGCGATCGACACGAGGCTCCGCTAATCCCACACAAATGTGTATATCCGACCATATCTTGTTCAACATGTGCACATTGTTCAGTGGCATTGTCCAGAACGCTGAACATTGGATTAATAATAGCTTGCCTCGTCCATCTCGAACTGATATGCGTCGGCGGAATAACTTTGAAGTTCAAGTCTTTTAGCACGACAAACACGTGTCTACACAACCATCCGTACAATTCAAAGTGCTTGCACGAACACATAGACGTAGTTAGACCCACATCATAAATAACCGTGAACATCTTACCATCGGTGTCTTTGATCGTGAATTCCACCAGTCCACCACTCTCGGATAAGTTCATTACACGACAATTGAAACATGCTGCGCATATCTCACCTTGGACACGGTAGAAAGATGATGTCGTGTAAATAGATCGTGCGTGCTTCTCGATCGGCAATGGAATCTTCATCTCAGCCATTTGGGATTCACCTTCAGTTTGTAGCTTAATCGAGGCATTTCGTTTGGCGTCCATCGCGCTTTCAAAATGTAGTAGGAACTCGACTAAACTAGAATGACTGCTTGTGAAATAACCAAACCAGTGGTTCTCGCTTTCCGATCTAGATGTAGTCCTCATCAACCCGCTCATACGGACATCCCTGAAAAATGCTGGTATCCAATATTCCCTTTTTGCAAAAAGGTCAACAAACCAATTGTGCGTATCCAACATGTATTCTTTCATTATGGCTGCCCATTTAGATTCAAATTCGTCAGGCTCTATATTCCGATCCCAAACAATTCCACTAAGTCTTTGTTTAAACACAACATCACTATTTAACGAATGACCGACTTTGTCGCACAATTTAGTCATTATGTGCCACATACAGAATCGGTGTTTGCAAGTATTGAATACTTTAGGAAATGCAATTCCGATCGATGGATCTTGGTCAGTGACGATATATACAGGCTCGTGAATCATGGCATACCTTAAAATTCTTGAACACCCATTCATAAGAGTCGACATCTTCTTTTGATATCAACGCGGCTGCAAACGTCACGCACCGGTTGTGGTTATCTATTCCAGTGAAAGGAGCAAAGACCATGTTGTACCTATAGTTTAATAGCTTCAGATCAGCACATACAAGAGTAAATGTGAGCAATATGCAATTGTTAAAGATCATCATAAAATGTGTGCTCACCTGTTAGTGCGGTAGGTCGCATCAAATGACACAGCATCACCAAAAGAACCATAGTTCCTCCTTGAAATCGGATCATCCCAGAAGAGTCGTTGCAAGCAGTCGTTCGCATCAAGCTCGTAGCTGAAGTAAAAGGCAGGGCTCGTTTCCTGACGCTTATAAAACTTATCGATAACCAATTGTGCATCCGCACCCGATATGTATGCAAGGAGATCCCGTTTAAAGTTCTTGAAGTCAACACTGGTGGCCCCGATATTCGAATACCCTCCAACCATTTCTTTATACAGACGGTACGACTTGATTGGCCCGATATTGGCTTTTATACAGTTTAGTATAAACGACTGATGTCCCGCATTAATTTCTCTGTTGATCTTCATTTGTAGTTTGCAGATGTCAGACGTCATCGGGTGGGTATGTTTCTCCTCAAAAGACTTAATGATATAGCCATTCAACCCATCAACTCTCAACCCAATCCGGGCAGTACAACCCACCCGGTTGGACACCCTACGTCTCGTCACGTGTCCTGCACCCTGTACATTTGGACCGACCTTTGCGTGATGCTTATGTCCCTCTCGCGAGCACACCACGTATTTCCAAAGGACCGTCTTGTCACGTGCCTTCACCAAGGTGCTGTTCCTCACATTGAACCCAACAGTACGAGCGTAATTTTTGTAGAAGCTCACTGCTTCATGTAACTCCCGGAATCTTTGCCCACGATAAGGTTTGATTGTATTGTCGCAATCTGGTATCCAATATTTTGTTCCTCCTGGGGTGATCGAAATACGCTGATGTGTAATCGGTGCCTGGTTTTCTTGAAGAGCCGGGAGAAGTAAGAAAAAAAAAAAGAATGAAATAAT